CGCCCACTGTCCCGGCTGCCCCAGCCCCGCTGCCGCAGCGCGGGGACCGCAACACACGGCACAATGCGCCCCAGTCCCACTGCGGCCACCCAGTCCACGGGCACACTTACATCTTCTCAATGAGCTCCTTCTCATCCAAGGCACCAGGCAGGTCTCGCTTGTTCCCCAGCACCAGGACCTGCAGGGAGAGGGGACACCTGAAGCTCTTGGCCTTCAGAACAGGCAGGAACCTCCTGCCACCCAGAAGCAGATCCTACTTCAGATGCAAGACAGCCCTGGCCACTCCACCAGGGTGTGCCCAGAGAGAGCAAACCTGTTCATCAGGCAATCAAAGGCAGAGCACTTCAATTAACAGCCCTAATTAGCCTGTACACAGCATCTCCTGTGTACTCTCTAGACCCAGTGACAAGCTGGCCCCACAGCACATCCTCCACAAACGGCACCAGCATCTGTTGTGTCATCTAGAACATTCTCCTAGGAGCCTCTGGCTGCCTTTGAGCAAAACATCAGGTGAAATGGCTAAAACCCAGTGTCAGGAAGGAGATGTGGGGCCGTAGCACAGCAAGGTAGCCAAAAAAACACCTGTTTGCACCATCCACTGATTTATCCTTATTTCGAGGCTTTTTACATCCACAAAGACATTCTCACAAGGGAAATAACCACCTGGCAGGACTTGTACATCCCCCTGGAGGACCCCATGGGACTGTCACCTGACAGGGACAGCACCGTGGCTGCAGCACCCACACAGGGCCTCTGCAGCAGCACTGGAAGGCAGACTCCCCCAGGGTGAATATGGAGACTTGTTCTCAAAAATAGAGCACCCAGAAGGACTGCAAATGCAGGCCATGTTGGGAGGTTCATTTAGTTGGCACTGAAGGTTTGGGATCCTCAATTAGCTCCTTTCAAAGGATGTGGATTTGGATGCTCCAGAAGCATCCTGCCCAGTGTGCAGTGTGCCCCGAGCTGCTGCCTCTCCTGCTGCTCCCAGCCACCTCCTGCCAATGTCATAGCCCCGTGGCTGCTCTCCTAGGGACAAGTCCCACCATAAATAAGGTGCAAATTGATGCAAGAAGACAGATCTCGCATATTGGGAGGTTTTTTTGGTGTCTTCCAAAGCCCCCTTCCCTGCTGGTTGGCCTGGTCCTGGCCTGGAAAGCACCACATTCCCAGTTCCTTCAGGGTGCAGTGGGGAAGGGGATGCCCCCCCAAAAGGGATCCACCCCCTGAACCTACTCTGCACAGTGCAGGCCCCTTGCTGCCAGCCCTGGCAGTCACCAGGCTGAGGACCATGAGCAGCCGGGAGCACCAGGCAAGAGCTCACCGGGATGCCCTGGAGCTGTGGCTTGTCAAGCAGGTTGTGCAGTTCATTCTTGGAGGCCTCTATCTTCTCCTGGTCAGCAGCATCCACCATGTACCTGCAAGGGAAGGGATACCTGTGAAGACAGACACCAAGGTCCCCATGCCCCAGGCTGCTGGGGTTTGTGCCACCACCAGGTCTTGCCTGAATGACAGCCGCTGGTTCACAGGCCAGAGTGTGGATGTGATGGACAATGAGATCCCTCTTCCCAGAAAAGGCTGTGGGGCTGAGAGCCTCCCATGTCTTCCACGGGAGTGGAGAACCTCCCTGTCCTCATCCCCCAGGAGCCCATCCTGCTGACACCAGGGACACTGTGGGCAAGGGAGTCCAGGCACCATCCCCAAGTCCCTAAGCAAAGCTGGTCTGCACATGCCAGATCCTTTTGGAGACTCCCAGGACAAAGGAAAAGAAGTAGAGAGGAGCTGATGGAGAAGATGTCAATGCAAGATCCTGGCAGGGGGAAGGACCTGCTTGTCTTCTCTACAGGAGCAATCCTGAGCATGGGGCACACACCAGAGCGCAGAAGAAGCAAGCAGGAGAAGCCAGATTTAGGGATGGGTTTAGCTCTCACAGGCAGCCACCCATCCTGCAGAGGACATCAGTGAAGCCAGGACTGGGGAGAGGAACTAAAAAAAAAGCAGCCTTTAATGATCAAGAAGCTGGGAGAGAGTAAGTGAGAAACACCATCAAGCTTCATCAGGCCTTCTAGGGTTTATTAAAAATAGGAAAAAAGCCTTTAGCTACTGAAGCACTGAAGACAGGAAAATGTGTGTGTTGGTTTGGTGAGATTTTTGGTAATGGGAATGGGGGAAGGGCCCCAGGGGGGGCTCCAGTAAGAAGCTGAGAAGCTCCCCCTGCTCCAAAACCAGCCAAGGAGCCATTAGAGGGACAATACATGAACCTCTGCCATTAACATACAAAAGAACTGAGATAATTGCTGAGCAGAGCCGAGCACTTAGGGCGGGAAGAGCTGCCCTAGTGGTTGGTGAAGAAGGTGCCCAAGCAGAAGTTTCCCTGCAACCCATTGTGAGATGGCAGCTGTGCCCCTGCCCTCATGGAGGAATGTGGTGGAACATTCCTGAAGGTTCCAGGAGGGGTGAACTTGGCCAGTGGACTTGGATTTTGTGGCCAGTGGATTTGCTGCCAGTGGAGTCTGATTATGCAGCTGTGGAAGCCCCCGGGCCAGGGGAGGTGCCTGTTCCCAAAGCCCCCGTGACTCTGCGGGCAGCGCTGGAGCAGCTCTGGGCCTGGTGGGAATGGCTCATGGAGGAGAGGTTGGTGGAGGATCTGCCATGGGAAGGACCCCGTAGGGAAGCAGGAGAGGACTTTGAGGAATCCTTCCTGAGGAGGAAGGAGCAGCAGGAACCACGAGCCTGTGAACTGACTCTAAACCCCATCCCCTGTGCCACTGGGGGGAAGGAAGGAGAGAAACCAGGAACAAAGGGATTTGAGCCAGGGAAGAAGGGAGGAGAAAGCCCTGCCCTTTCTGTTGTCTGTGTCCTGTGGGCGTTTGATTAGCGTGAAATTAAATTATTATTTTTTTCTCCAAGTTGAGTCTATTTTGTCCAGGACCTTAATCGGTGAAGAACCCTCCTTGTCCCTTGTCTCGACCCATGAGCTGCTAGTTGGGTTTGTCCTCCTCACCCCAGAGTGTGTGTGGGGGGTTGAAGCTGAGTGAGTGGCCACGGAGCTGGTTCTTTGTCCTAAGGGGGGAGACACAGACACCCCACAGGCACTGCCAGGATGGGGCAGGAGGGCTGAAGGCCAGGGAAAAGGGGCAGGAAGCAGCGGGAGGCAGGGCAGGCAGACTAGAGCAAACTAGTCAGGGGTCCTTTTGTTTCCTCTCAACCAGATGGGCCATTCTGGTCGATGAGGAGTCAGGGATGAGGAGTCCTGCCCTCGCTGATTGTCACCATGTCGGGACATGTCCTCTACACTTTATTTTGCTGGAGCTTTGCTGGAAATAATATAATCATAGGATGTTAGAGGTTGGAAGGGACCTCTAGAGATCATCTAGTCCAAGCCCCCTGCCAAAGCAGGACCAACTGGGGCAGGCCACAGAGAAGCACATCCAGGCAGGTTTTGAAAGTCTCCAGAGAAGGAGGCTCCAGACTCCTTGTTTTTTCACTAATTTTTCTGCCTCCTTCCATAATTTCGTAATTTCTCCAGTGGCCCAACTGGTTGAGAGGAAACCTGGGGGGCAATGGGGCTGTGTCCCCCCTGGGGGGCTCAGATCCCAGGGTACTCACACGATGGCACTCACTCCACGGCAGTACCGCTCCCACATGCTGCGGAACCGCGGTTGGCCACCGATGTCCCAGAGCTGTGACAGGGAGAAGGCAGCATCACCCCACTGTCCTGTCACCCCCCTGGCCTGCCTGTCATCCCACCATCCTGCCCATTCTCCCACCATCCTACCCGTGACCCTTCCCCACCTGGCTGGAGCTTCCAGCACCCACCAAATCTACCCTCATCCCCATTTTCTTCATCCCAAACCTAAAGAGGAGGCTCCCAATCTGATAAAGAAAGGAGACATCCCATAGAAGGGCAGCTGGAGGGTGGTGAACACCTCCTGCAACCTGCCTCTGCTGGCATGAGGGACCCCTGGGCCCAAGCTGGGGGTTCCTCCCCATGACCACCACCCGTCCCAGATTCTCCCTTACACATTTGACAATTCCACACCCTCAGCACACTCTCAGAAACGTTTCTGCCACAGGCAGAGATCCCCAGTCACCTTTCAAGCCCATCCCACCATTATTTCCCAGTCCAACCCAGGGCCCTTGAAAGATCCAGGAGGGACAGAAACCTCCCCTCCCTTTGCTCTGGAGACAGAGACCCCCACTGCAACCCACAACTGTTCTTCCCAGCACTCCCACCCTCAGCAAGGTGACCACATCCACAAGTGTGATGGTAGGAAAATGTCCAGCTTTGCACTGACTGCAGAGGGCTGGATCTCCTATATCCCTTCCCACCAGCTCCTCTGGTGGGTACCTGCAGAAACCCAAAGGGCAGTTCTCTCCAACTGCACCCACGGCTGCTGGCATCTCTCAACTTCCAGAAGTCCCACCAGTCTCCCTTTACTGCATCTTTCATCCCAAGAGGCCATGGGTTCATACCAAGAGCCCATGGGATAACATCTGCACTTTACCTTTATGGTAACGTTCCCCTTGGTGATCTTCCTCATGTTAAAGCCCACCGTCGGGATCATGTCTTCATTGAACTGTCCTGACTGCAAGAACAAGGTGAAACAGTGTCAGGAGGCAGGGAAACCCCACCAGCCTCCCCAGGGAGGGCAGCAGGGCTGGCAGCCTGCCTGGAAACAATTCCAAACCCCAACTCAGCCCTGTGGTAGGGACAGTACAGCCTCCTCCTGCTCCATACCAGGAGCAAAAGCAGAGCCAAGGAGATGAAATGCCTGCAGGAGGGAAATGCTGCTGCTGCGTGGGGTGCAGGGTGCCCTGGGTTCTCCCATGAAGCCTCCTGCCATCTCAGTGGGTAGCAGAGGCTTGCCCAACCCAGACCTTTCCCAGTGTGATTCCCAAACTCTTCCAGGGAGGAGCAGAGACCTTCGGCAGCTGCAGTGACCCCAGGTCAGCCGTGCTGGGCCCAAACCTCTCCCCCAAATGCCCTGGGTTCTCCCATGAAGCCTCCTGCCATCTCAGTGGGTAGCAGAGGCTTGCCCAACCCAGACCTTTCCCAGTGTGATTCCCAAACTCTTCCAGGGAGGAGCAGAGACCTTCGGCAGCTGCAGTGACCCCAGGTCAGCCGTGCTGGGCCCAAACCTCTCCCCCAAATGCTCCTGCAGCCCCACACACCTCCAGGTGCCAGCAGGAGCCACCTCCTGCACCAGCTCCTTCCCAGCTGTGGGTCCTGGGGGCTCTGGCATGTTTCCTGCTTCAGATCATTTATGTTCCAGCCCAAACCCAATGAACTTCTGCTTTCCTGCTGGGCTGCTACCTCCCTGTGCAGGTCCTCTACGTCCTGCACCCTGCCCATGAATGACAGCTGGGTGCCCATGTTGGGTGACCTGGGGGGACACAGAAGGTCCCCTCTCCCTCCCCAGGAGCTGCCCCTGCCTGTTCTCCAGCAGCATAGCTCCTGCACCTCCTGCCCAGCCAGCAGCATCAGGGGCCTCAAAACAGGTTTGTCTTTGCTTGGAAAAGCATCCCTGTGGAGGGTACGGCTGTTGGACACTGGGGAAGCTGATGGAGAAGACGGTTGGATAACCAGGGAAACACAGCACTGGGGCTTTGTCCATCAGTGCCAGAAACCTGCAGGAACCACCAACTGCAGCTGAACTCAGCCCAGCACCTCTTTACTGGCTTAAAATCTCAGTTTCTCCAGGACTTTCTTTTAGTTTTCTTCTCTTTTAGTTGACACAATCCTCAAAAAGGGAAGGCAATTTTTACCATTTTCTTACACACAGAATTTTGTGCCTGCTTGAGCCAACATTTCCTTCAGACCCACCACGTCAGCAAGTCCCCTGGTTTCTCCTGACCTCTACCAATGGTTCTGCAATACGTGCTGCTTCCCTTTTTCATTTCCCTTTTGCACTCATCAGCAAAGAACAGCAGCTAAGGGGTGTCCAAGCCATGGTGCACCCAGAAACCACAGACAGACTGGCAGGGAAGGGGGTGGAGGGAGAGGAGGGGAAGAAGGCAGAAATTCCTCTACCACCAGCCAACATGGGTGATGTCTCCTGCAAACTGAGGTTCAACACAACCAGGTTTTATGGAATAATCAGGTTTTGATTGGAAGATGTGGAGAGCAATTGCTGAAGAGTTCTCAGAAGCTGCAGGCACCTCCACTGGGGATTCTGGACACAACATGTGAACTGTTGGGTGTGTGAAACCCATCCAAGACATGGTTCACTGGTTCTTCTCCCAGGAAGGGAGGGGCTGCAGGAGTCATCTCTGCTTCCTCCTCAACATGACAGGAGTAAGCATGTCTCCGTGAGCAAAGTTCAGCCTTGCTCCCTGCCCCAGATCCTTCCCCCACCAGGTCACCCAATGCCAGGCTGCCCATAGCCAAGGGCCTGGCACAGAACCATTTGTGCTGTTCCAAGAAAGGCTGGGCTGGGCAAGCAACATGATGTGGTTCAGGATGACTTCCACATGGTCTGTGATGCCCTGGCACCCACAGCAGCATCTTCAATGTGCTGAAACACACTCAGTTCCTTGCACCAGCTGCCCTCTGAAAGTGGCTCTGAAAACATATAGAAGAGAAGAAGGTTATCAGGATGAGCCAGGATGGATTCACCAAGGGGAAATCGTATCTGACTGACAGCCTTCTATGATGGTGTGACTGAATGGGTAGACAGAGGGAGACCAGTGGACTACCTTGATCTTAATTAGGTTTTTGACACTGTCTCCCATAACATCCTTGTGAGCAAGCTCAGGAAGTGTGGGGAAGAACAGTGGACAGTGAGATGGACTGAGAGCTGGCTAAACTATAGAGCCCAGAGGGTTGTGATCAATCATGCAGAGTCCAGCTGAAGACCTGTGACTAGTGGTGTTCCCCAGGGATCAGTGTTGAGTCCAGTCCTGGTCAACATCTTCATCAGCGACGTGGATGAGGGGATAGAGTGTGTCCTCAGCAGGTTTGCTGATGATCCCAAACTGGGAGGATTGGCTGATTCACCAGAAGGCTGCGCTGCCACTCAGTGAGATCTAGACAGACTGGAGAGCTGGGCAAAAAGGAACCCAATGAAGTTCAGGAAGAGTAAGTGTGGAGTCTTGCATCTGGGGAGGAATAACAACATGCACCAGTACAGGTTAGGAGTTACCGTGCTGGAAAGCAGCTCTGTGGGGAAGGACCTTGGAGTCCTGGTGGACAGAAAGTTATCCATGGGACACCAACGTGCCCTCATGGCCAAGAAGGCCAGTGGTATCCTGGCATGCACTAAGAAGAGTGTGTCCAGCAGGTTGAGACCACATCTGGAGAACTGTGTCCAGTTCTGGGCTCCCCAGCTCAAGAGAGACAGGGATTTACTTGAGAGAGTCCAACAGAGGCTACAAGGCTGATGAAGGGACTGAAGACCTGTCTGATGAGGAAAGGCCTGGGGCTTTTTAGACCGGAGAAGAGAAGACTGAGAGTGGATCTTACTGATGTCTATAAATATCTGAGGGGTGGGTGTCAAGAATGGGCCAGTCTCTTTTCAGTGGTGCCTTGTGATAGGACACGGGGCAATGGATGCAAACTAGAGCATAGGAAGTTCCACCTCAACATGAGGAAGAACTTCTTTACTGTGAGGGTGGCGGAGCCCTGGAACAGGGTGCCCAGAGAGTCTCCTTCTCTGGAGACATTCAAGACCTGTCTGGATGCCTTTCTGAGTGATCTCCCCTACTTTTTGGTCCTGCTCTGGCAGGGAGGCTAGACTTGATGATTTCCAGAGGTCCCTTCTAACCCCTGACATTCTGTGATTCTTTGACTCCTCTCCAGCGGTCCCTGATGCCGACACCTCTGGAAACATCTTCAGCTACCTGCAGGGTGCAGTCACCTGCCAGGGACAGTGAAGACCAGACCAGCTAAAGGCATGTGAAAGCCTCTCTGGACACAACTTTCCCCCAGATTTTGGTTACACAATGGACACAGCATCCAAGCTGACACCAGATGTCACATCTAGCTGCACTGATGGCTTGAGAATGAGATTCCTCTGGGAGGCACAAAAATGCTTGCTGGCAGGATGGATTCCGTGGCTACAATGGGTGGATCAGACCTTTGTGGGCTCTAGAGGTGGGATTCTGCCAGGGTCCCCTCAGCACCCTGGACAAACCGCCCTGGCTGGAAGGCAAATGACCTTTCTGCCCAGCTCCACCACTCCTCAGTTGGGTGCTGGGAGCCATGACCAGGATCAAGCTCTTGCAGGGCAAGTGATGCCAACTCCCTCTCAGCCCCATCCTCTGCCATGTGGACATGGAGACCACCTCACCTGCCCCTTCAGCCATTATCCCCCGCTCAGACAGCACCTGGGACCTTGATTGCTGGCATACACAAAGAAACAACCTCAGCCTCCACTCTGTGTCCACCAGATACATGTGCAAAGCCAAGGTGACCAGGTGGCAGCCACCCTATCCTACCACAGGATGACACCACTTTAATGTGACCTGCTCTAGATAAACTGCTGCTGGCTGTTTTACAGGTCCCAGGGCTCACAAACAAGGCCTCCCCCAGAGACTGGAGATGGCAGTGCTGAAAGACTGGCCCCATGTCATCTGAAGTCGTGTCTCCACCAGAGGCAAGATGCCCAAAGCACCCTTGGTTGGATGGTCTGGACCATGCCCCAAATCACCCAGCCTTCCACTCCTGCAGCCAAGGCTCTGCCAAACCCTGTCCAAGCTCCAACCCAGAAAGGAACTCAGGGGTTTCATGTCTTACCCATCCCACCCTGCCCAGCCTCAACTGGCCTTGGACATGGTGCTGGGCAGGGCCTGGCACCTGGGAGCTTCACCTGCAGAGTCACTGCCCATCCAGAACCTCCACAGCAGCTCCTAAAGCCCCTGCAGAAGGCACCAGAGGGGACAGGGCTGCACAGCCCTGCCAGGGAACTCTGGGGAGGGGGCTGCCACCCCGGGCCTGACAGAGATGCCCCCAGGCTGGCAGCAAGGTGGGAGAGCCTCAGGGGGACCAAAATGACTTGCCCAAAGTCCTCAGCAAGCTTTGGTTTCAAAACCCCTGTGCAGAGGGGCTGCCCTGAAGGACCGGCACTGGTCAGACCACTCAGCTTGGAAACACAACACCACGAGCCTTCATCATGGTAGGACACCTCCTGGCCACGCTCCTGGTGACACTATCACAGCCAAACCAAGCCCTGCTGCCCTCCCTGGTCCCACGGGCCCCATCTCTGTATCTCAAGAGCAAGAAGGGGCTCTGGGACAAGCCTGCAGGCAGCAGCCAGGCCATCCAGCTGACCCTGGAGCTGAGGTGATGATACCACGACTGGCACTTCCAGGAAGCCCCCAGAAGCCAGACAATGCTCTCCAGGACAGTTCAACCCACTCCCTGCAATGCAGCCAATGGCTTTTTTTTTTTTTGACGTGGTATCTCTGACATTCAGCTTATGAAGGTACAGAGGTGTGGCCACAAAAAGTGCTGGTGGCTCTAGAGTGGCAGCTTACTGCTGGCCCAGGCTTTGGGGTGTGGGACATGCATGGCCATCACTCACATCCATGATGGCAGCACAGGGCCTGCTACAGAAACTCTGGAAAGCAAAACCCTCTGGAT